AGAATGTTCCAGGAAAACATGTTTACAATGATGAACAATATAGTTGATTTCAACAGAAAAACAGAAACTTTATACAGGGTCAAATGGAAATTATAAAGCTGAAAAATACAGTATCTGAAATCAAAAAGGCAGCTTTGCAGGTACAACTTTCTTCCTCAAAAGAATTCTTTCTCTTTTTATATATAATAATCTCTTTTGTTTAGTCTCTCTGATAACTAATCTTAGCTATCTAACTCCTCAGTTCCTCCTTCCTTGAGTGTTCAGTGGCTGACTCCAGTATTTATGACAGGTATAATCTCTCTGACTTGATTCCTGCCTTAGTTTTATTCCACTACCCTAACTAACATTTGTGTCTAATTTGACCTAACCCCGCATCCCATCTACAGTAGTTTTAAAAAATGTCCATGGGGCACCTGGCTGGCTCAGTCGGTATAGCACGTGACCCTTGGTCTTGGTGTTATAAGTTTGAGCCCCATATTGGGGCTTAAAAAATCCAAATTTTATGACATTCCCTCCTCCAAAAAGTAGACCATGATTCTCCTCCCCTTGAGAGTGGACTGGACTCAAAGAATCACTTCTAATAAACAGAATAAGGCAAAAGTGACAGTGTGATTTCCAAGACTAGGTCATGGAAGGCACTGAAGCCTCTTCCTTTCTCTCTTGGGTCACTCAACCTGAGGGAAGCCAGCTGTCCATGTCATGAAGACATTCAGGCAACTCTATGGGTAGGTACATGTGGAAAGCAACTGAGTTCTCCTACCGATAGCCAGCAAGAGGTCTTCAGCCAAGAGTCATGTGTTATGTGTTAAATTGTGTCCCCCCTAAAAGATAAGCTGGAGTCTTAACTTAGATACCACAGTACCTAAAAATATGACCTTATCTAAAATAGAGTTCTTAACACAGATAATCAAATTAGAATAAAGTCATTAAGATGAGGCCTAATCCAATATGACTGATGTCCTTATGAAAGAGGGAAGAGACACACACACAGGGAGAACGCCATGTGGAGATGATTGCAGAGATCAGGACAATGCAAGTACAAGCCATGGAACATCAAAGACTGCCAGCAAACCACAGTAAGCTAGGAGAGAGGCATGGTATAGATTCTTCCTCCCAGCTCTCTGAAAGAACCACCCTGCCAATACCTTGATCTTTCACGTCTAGCCCCCAGAACAGAGACGGTGCATTTCTGCTGCTCTAAGCCACCCAGTTTGGGGCACTTTGTTACTGCAGCCCCAGGAAACTAACAAATCATGTGAATGAACCGCTTTGGAAGCAGATCATCTAGTTCCAGACAAGCTTTCAGATGACTGTAGCCCTAACCATTATCTTGACCTCCACTTCCGGAGACAACCCTAGCCGGAACTGACTGCTAAATGGCTACTGAATTCCCCACCCATGGAAATTATAAGTGTTTGATGTTTTAACTGTTGTGATGGACTGGACGGAACTGTGTCCCCACCCTATATTCATATGTTGAAACCCTAACCCCTCAAGTGACTATATTAGGATGAGGGCCTAATCCAGTATGACTGGTGTCCTTATAAAAAGAGGAAGAAACACCAGGGATGGGCACACACAAAGAAAAGGCCATGTGAGGACACAGGGAGAAGGCGGCCATCTGCAAGACAAGCAGAGGGGACCCAAGGGAAACCCACCCTACTGACATCTTGACCTTGGAATTCCAGCCTCTAGAACTGTGAGAAAATAATGTTCTGTTGTTTAAGCCATTCAATCTGTGGTATTTTGTTATGGTAACCCCAGAAGAATAATATAGCTGGTAAGTTTGGGGATAACTTATCACACAACAGATAATAATATACTTTCCCACACCAGCCCCCCAAACACACACATTTTCCATCTCCATTTATCACCCAAAATTGTCTCAACAGTCTAGCCCCAAAGTATGCAAATTAGAAACGTCAGCAACATTTCTTTGAACAGGTTTGGTGTTTTGAAACTTGATTCCCTTGGAGCGCCTGGGTGGCTCAGTCCTTAAGCATCTGCCTTCGGCTCAGGTCATGATCCCAGGACCCTGGGATCGAGCCCCACAGCGGGCTCCCTGCTCAGCAGGGAGTCTGCTTCTCCCTCTGCCTGCCACCAACGCCCCCCCCCTGGCTTGTTCTCTCTCTCTCCCCTCCCCCCATCAAATAAATAAATAAAATCTTAAAAACAACAACAACAACAACAAAGAAATTTGCTTCCCTCACAGATTATGGGAAAGGCTCTGGGATAAATCTGTCAAGTAAGGAACAAGTCTTCCTATTAGGACCTCTAACCTTTAAGAGAAAGTAGTAAAAGATGACAATTAGCCTATGCGTGACCCTGTTTGATTTTAGACTATGAGCAAGACCAAGATCATAATAGGAAGCTTATACTTTTAACTCAATGGGAAACTTGTGTCCATTGGAAATAACCACTACCTTCTCTCTGCTTTCCGTAGCAGCTTGGATGTCTGCTAAGGATGTTGAATTATATGAAATTGTTAACCCCTCAACCAACAAACACTTGCTCTTCCAGACTTGTCTCAGTTATATTTTTAAATTCCTTATAGTTCCTAGCACAGAGCAAACACTCAATAAATGTTTAGAGAATGATTGGATCCAGAAGAACTGTCCCCTTTAATTCTATCCGCAGGCAGTCCTACTCCAAGACTTTAAAAAGGCAGCGCTGAGCTGGGAACCTTGCTCATTCATCTTACTACTGCAGGAGAATTCCTTCTGCTGTCGTTCCTGACAAATTCAAAGTCTGGTCTGTTTGATTTCTCTGGTAATCAATTTTCAGCTTCTGATTGTCAGGTAAGCTCTCTCTAACTTAACTCTTGCCTGTCCCTTTCCCATCACAGTGACCATTTTCTGCCTTGCGTTTTCTGAACATAATCCTAAAGTCCCATGCATTCCATTTAGCCCTTCCTCAAGGGCCAATTCTCTGCCCTTGTACCTGGCTTCACCCTGCTTATAACCAATCAGCACCCTCAACCATCTCACCTATCCAACTCCAGGGCAGGCCCAAAAGAAAATTCAGCAAAAGTGTTTAAGGTTGAGAACCTACATCTTATGACTTGATGGCCTTAAATCTCTTTAGTTTTGGTTCCTGGAATTGTATTCTACTTATTTGTTGGGGGACGGTAGGCTAGTTCTGCACTATTTTAATGTCTATATAATAGATATTATAAGAATCATAGAACTTTGCATGAATGTGGTTGGAAAAGCTCATCTTGAGTGTTTTCTTAACCCAAAACTCGAAACTGCTTTCACCCTTTCCTACTACCAAAGGAATTTAGGTTTCTGTTAAGTATCTGAGGGAACCACACTTATTGGAGCCACAAAGAAGCTGCAATCTCCAGTAACACCATTTTTTCTAGTTACATTTCATACTTAACCCTGGTCTATACCTTATTTAGATGTATTTAGAGCTTCTCGAGCTAATTTCTAGAAACATTCAGGGGCAACCCTTTTTAAAATTGACAATCTCAAAAAGATCCTTAATGTGTTCATGAATTAACTAAGGATACAACTTGCCTTGAGTGTTGCCAAGTAGCTTCTCCAGGCAAAAACTTTTGGAGGATGAGTATTTATGTAAAAACATTGTAACTACTCACAATAAGAGCTAACATTTATTGAGTGCTTTTACAATGTGCCCGCTGTGCTCATGTGTTTAATATGGATTACCTCATTTAATCCTGCCAACAGCTCTGTGAGAAAACTCATGCACAAAAAACGTAACTTGTCCAAAGACATGCAGCTGGTAAATCAAGTGGGGTTTAAACCACTTGAAGTCTCTGAATCCAGAACCCCACTGCCTCTTGGGCTTCTGGCAGCTTTACTAATGAAATTCCCTTCTGGTATTCAGCTGCCGGCATAAAGATTTCACTGGGTTATCTCCTCCTTTTGTTGCCAGGACCTGGATAAGGATAGAAATGTCTCCTGGACTAATCTATTTCTGTCTAGAAGAGAGCCCTTTGACAATATGTCAGTACTCATCCAGGAAGTATTCAATAAATGTTTACTGAATGAATGAGGCCAGTTTGGAATTTGTTCAAAATAAATGACTCTTTTATATCCACCTAGGAAAAAAAAAAAAAAAGAGGGACTGTCTCAAAATCTTCATTCATTAAGTGCTCACACGGAAAACTGCATTCCATTTTGGTGACTCAGGAAGGTGAAATCACAGAGAAAACTGGGGGTAGAGGGGGATGCAAGTGGAAGGTGGAGGATGGGGAGAATTGCTCTGTAAGAAAAGAGGTCCGGGTGCTAGACGCAAAGGGATGAATCTAAATCCTAAGTCTAACGGAAGTCCATAATGAAAGGTCAGAAAATCCAAGGGGAGGGAAGATAGTAAAATTTGAGGAGACCCTCAGAGTGATTCTTCCAAAATTTGTTTCAACACTCCACTCTCACTCTAAAATGTCCAGATCTTGGAGAAAGTGACGTTGCAAATCATCTGGGTCGCCTAGGTGACTTCCTGGGAGAGTGCCTATAGCTATACTACGAAAGGTCAGTATGAAACACAACAGTGCCCGAGGGGTGAAACGCGCCAGCTGCTTCGCCAGAGGCCAGGTAACCAACCACCAGCCACAAGGAATTAGGCGTACCAGACCAAAAGCAGTTTAGGAAGCCCGCTGCAATGGACCAAAGCAGCCACCAGATGGCACTCAAGGATTAGGATCGTGGGGACTTCCGGCGCACCCCCCCCCGC